TTTGGGACAGATTTGGATCAAGTTGCCATGGCAATAGGCAATTTGCGGCTGTGCCGTAGGTTGGCGCACTCGGCGTTGCCTTTTATAATTTTGTTCAAATATAACTACGCCTGTCGTGATACTGGCGTCGATGAACCTAATGGAATGGTCATTTGTTTATATGGCCAGGCGGGTGGGGATAGTGCAGACATGAAAATTGTCTGTTTATTGAAGCATTGTAAGAGTACCACATTTCAACCTAGATTACCATGGAGAAGTGGAGATTTAATTATTACTGGGTGTTTCATTGTTTACGGTATAATGTTTGCTTTTGACTGGAATGGATTAGATGATCACACTGCAAAACAAGTAGATCATCGTGTAAATGCATTGCGCCTTCTCACAATAAACGTACTCTACTCAAGACAACATTCGCACAACAATAACCATTACTGATAGAGACATGGCTTACACATGGATATCACCGAATACATTAACAGAACATGTACATTTCTAAAGGCACAATAGGAAAGTCAATATATCACTTAACATAGGCGAAGAAGTAAAAGAAATAGCCAATGTAACCATGGTTACTCGCGTATTCAAATATAGGCACAGCCGATGAAAACGTGAGCATTAAGGAAGCTGGAGACACTGACGTAAATGATGATACACGACAACACACTTTATTCCCCAATGTTATTGCCTTTCCATTATGTTGATTGAGTGTATCGCCAACTGTAGAAGTGTAATCAAACTATATCTTGTTTGTGCGTTACAGCCATCTACAGCTCGGGCTAACCTGTTTGTGTATGTTATGGGTGAGCAAGAATACCCTTCGTACATTATGTATTGAAAAGGCTGTTTACTGAACACGTAGAATGTGACTGCTATGTTTCGTCACCTTGCCTTCAGTAGACGCATACTAAACTGTGTTCATAGAAACAATATCAAAGCTTTAGAGAAGGGAGGGCTGAATGACCTTTAATGCGGAAAGGTGGGACGACACCCTGATTCATTTCGGAACTACCAATCACAAATCAATGTTATTTTACAAGTCTCTCAATCGGTTGAAATCAACATATATGATAAACCATTTTTCATATTCCCGTAATACGCGTTTGCTCACTAATAAAAGGTAACATAAACCAAAATCCATAACTGTTCTGTACCAGAATACTGTGAAATACTTTAACTTAGCTGGAATTAATTTTTGCTGAAAAGATTTTTGGGTGTTTTGTACTAATTTTGAAGTCAATTCAAACCGTGGCAATTTCACGATCCGTGACAAATCGCCCTTAGATGATAGTAGAACAAATTTATGTGAGTGGTTGAGGTTGGGAGAATTTGAAACCACGTCTCACATATAGGCGGTTTTATATCACACATGTATTTTAGCACGACACCAGAAACTACAAGAAATATTTGAATTAATATAATTCTTAATAATAATTCAACCATCAATATCTTGTCATATTGGCTTATTTTGCCATAGTCAGCCATGATGTTAAATGGTCATTCTACTTGCAAAAACCAATCAGATTGCCGGGATTTATATTGCATAGTATAGAGATGTAGAAAATTACATAAACTGCCATGATATATGGGATAAATAGAATTATCAAAGTGTGGTATAAACATAAATACTAAAGTGTGGTATAAGTAGAATTACTAAAGTGTGGTATAAATAGAATTACTAAAGTGTGGTATAAACATAAATACTAAAGTGTGGTATAAACATAAATACTAAAGTGTGGTATAAATAGAATTACTAAAGTGTGGCATAAATAGAATTACTAAAGTGTGGTATAAATAGAATTACTAAAGTGTGGTATAAATAGAATTACTAAAGTGTGGTATAAACATAAATACTAAAGTGTGGTATAAATAGAATTACTAAAGTGTGGTATACACATAAATACTAAAGTGTGGTATAAATAGAATTACTAAAGGTGGTATAAATAGAATTACTAAAGTGTGGTATAAATAGAATTACTAAAGTGTGGTATACACATAAATACTAAAGTGTGGTATAAATATAATTACTATAGTGTGGTATAAATAGAATTACCAAAGTGTGGTATAAATAGAATTACTAAAGTGTGGTATAAATAGAATTACTAAAGTGTGGTATAAATAGAATTACCAAAGTGTGGTATAAATTGAATTACCAAATGTTGTATAAGTATAAGTAACAACATGTGGTATAAATAGAACATTGATGCTCTAAACAAATATGCGCACCATATATACACAAAGAACGTGTTTTTTCTTCCCTTCAGACTGGTTTTTGTTCAATCAATCGCGGTAGACAATCTGGAAACTAAACACAACATACGGGGAATAAAAGTAGCACACCCGTGTTGAAGACTGATAATTAAAGATAGACTAATAGAAAAGTCATGTAAAAACGAAAAATCGGATTACATTTCTGACTCAATCTTCTGAGGACGGATGTAAAGAAACAAGAAAAAGGCTTTGCGGAGATCAAACGAGAGTATCGTACCCTACATACATGAAATATTTGAATAAAAATTAGTTATGTGTTTGTTTTTTGTCCGATATTTGTTTAAACTAATGAGAGGTTTACAATAGCTAATTATCATATATCGATTGTCTACTTTTTGTACTAAACCCGTCACACCCGCATTCTGATTGTCTCTTGTTCAGCAATTTTCCAATATTTGATGAAATGAAACGATTTCGCTTGGCGTCAGTACACGTGTTCGACGCGTGACGCTTTATCACAACTACGATGGACTGATGGAAGTACTGTTATATTCATATTCATAGGCGCAATACAGATGTTGGCAATTTGCATGGGTGTGAATATATGAGAAACTAAGAGTAGATTTGAGAAAGTCTAATATGTTTCAATCGAAAACAGGTCGAGGCATATGAAAGGCGTTTTACGACACCAGTATTATATGTGGCTATGGTCTTTTATGAATAAGACTCCTCAATACTAGACAGCAGAGTGTAAATCGGTTGTGAACAGACATGTTTATTATTTCTGAAAAATGAGTATTAAAACTACGATATTAATTGGGAGAAAAACTGAAATAAAAATGTCCAGTTCATATACAGTATGCGGCCCTAGCACAACGTACATGTATAAGCGATATATTGTCTTGTAAGCTCTGCTCGATGTGAAGGATTCATGATTAGGATATGTCAGGATGGTAGTGGGCGAGTATGCATCAGCTGCAAATACCTTGTATCCCCACATGTGGAGCAGAATATGCTCAATCTTTTCGGAACACGACATCAATTCTTGTATACCATGGAGTCTATATATCTTCCCCTTACTGATTTGTCCATGCAGTGTAGCGTTTGTTTTGTTAATTGTTCATAGACTTGTACCTTTCCATATACAACTTTTGTTTACAAATCTACGTTGGGGAATATTATTCCCTCTTTGCTCCTCAAACAGTGTGACACTCTCTCCATTTATTGCTGTAACTGTTTCGCAGGTATTTGTAACCATGGTATGTGAAACCATTGACGAGATGACAAGAAAGACGAGCAAACATCAGGGGTGTGACTCTCGCTATCTCCTGCTGTCAACGAGATTTCAGACGCCATTTTCAACTAAGTCTCTGTTTGTTGTTGGTAGTTTATAAATATTGCCATTTATGTTTTAGAACTGGGCTTTTTTCATGTTGTAGACTATTTAGGTGCACGTTTAGCCGTTAGGGAGAATACATTGTGAAATCAAGACAGATTACATCAGTTTGTTTATAGAAGTGTTGTAGTCAAAATCGAAATATATACTGCTACAAAATGGCTTTAAGGTAGCGGGACTATTATTTGCATACTTGTTTTCATCTTCTAATTGTGACTAAATGACTACAAATAGACCCGGGAAAGTATATATTTTTAGAATCGCCAGACTTCAAGCTTTTCACAAGTGTATTTTGCATGCCCGTATCTGCAATCTACGACGCGTTACTCAATCAAAGGTGAAAAATTACCTTTTCTGTAAAAAATAATTACGCATTTATGCTGGCGATAAGAAGTATTTTTTTCACTTTTCCTAGTTGTTCAATAGTCTGGTAAATTGAATGTGTCTGGTTAGTTTTATTCAAGCAACGCGTTTTAAAAAATAGT